TAGTCCTGTGTGACCTGCATTAAGAGACTCAGCCTCTCTGAGGGCTAGGTTTCCTCATCTGCATAATGGCAAGAGCAGTATAGCAACCCCGGTGCTGCTCCAGCTTCACGGTATGCACACCGTGATTCTGTATTGGGTGGGGCCTGAGACTCTGCATTTCTGAGCAGGGGCTGCTTGTTACTGCTGGTGGCTCCAGAGGGCAGGGGTTGGCAACCGGTGGCTCTCAGCCCAGTTCTCTTCAGCTCCACCAGCAAAGAACGGGTTTTTTTTTTTTACATTTTTAAAGGGTGGTAAAACAAAGTTTAAAAAATCAAAGAACATGTGACAGAGACCTACATGGCATGCCAAGCTAAACAGTAAAATATTTACTTTCTGGTCCTTTACCGAGAAAGTGTGCTGGCCCCTTTCCTGCAGACTCTGCTGCTGTCCATCCCACGTGATGCCTTGGCTGGCACTCGCCCACCTGACTTCACCTATTGTTGCAGACACAGGCCTTTCCCAGCATGCTGAGAGCTTCCCACCTCAGATACCTGTGTCCCTGCTCCTTCACTCTCTGGAAACCTTCTAGGCACCGGGGGAGCTTCCTCAAGGGCTAACTGGAGGTGGGGGAGAGTCACCTCACTGTTGCTGGGCTGCAGCCAGCCTGCCCTGGTGTGTGAGAGCCCAGTGTGTATCCCTTCCCAACTCAGTGTTAACAGATGGCAGGATGGTGGCCTGACCTTGGCCCTGGTGGTGCATTTACACCGGGGAGATCACTAAGTGCTACAAATCAGGTCGTTAGTTTTGTTTTTTTATTGTTATTGTTGGAGAGACAACTGATAAACATTGACTGGCACCTCACGTCCTCATGCGTCCTTCCCGGTATCTCTGCCCAGATAAATACCTGCGCACAAGCCCTGGTCTCAGGTGAGCTGGTGGTGGAACCCATATGAAGAAAAGTGCCTACCTTCCCATAGTTTTGGTATTAGAGAAAAACAGATGAGATCAGAACAGAATCATTAACCCAAGATTCGGTATAGGATAGTCAATGTCAGTTCCTTCCTCTCCCTTCACAAAGGGAGACGCTCCAGCATTTTCCAGGACACCTGCACCCCAGGCTTTTGGTATCAAAGTGGCTCTGGCTCAGTGGGCCATCTGGCCACTTTCCTGCAGTTTCTGGAATGACTTCACGACCACACCCAAGGGGCAACAGGAGATGGGCTGAAACGAATAGGCGCGTCAGGAAGGAAGCGTATCCACTGCAACCTCACAAAACTGAAAACGTGTGGGCAAGGTGAGCGGGACAATGCTGGCATGTTTGGCCAAGTCCCAGTTCTGTGAGGGAGACAATGCCCCTTTCTGTGGAGTTATGGATGGACACCAGGCCTAGAGGCTGCAACCTCTTTCAGGCACCATGAACTGAGGTTGGAGCTCAGAGCAAGAAGGGAAAAAAAGAGGTGCAAAGGAGAGAAAGAAAATGCAGGGACAGGAAAGGGATGCATGTAAAAAAATGATAGGTTCCTCTCCAATATCCACTTTCCCTTCCTACTTAGTAACAGACCTAATTGTTAATTCAATGCTCAGCCAAAGCATCACATTTACCCAACCTCCCTTATACTGGGGTGGCCCTTATTCTGGTCAATGAGCTAAAGAGTGGAAGATTTCCGTGGGACTTTCAGGAAAGTGCCTGAAAGGAGGCTGACTCATCTGACCAAGAGGCTGTTTTGTCATCCCCTGCTTTTTCCTTATGCCAGCTGGAATTTGGTTGTGACAGCTGGAGCTCCAGCAACCATTTTAGATGAATAGTTGACCTAGAGGATGGAAGTCAGTGCTAAGACTGATGGAGCAGAAAGATAAAGGAACCTGGGTTCCTGGTAACAATGTTGTCAACCCTGGCTTGTTACCTCAGGACTGCCTTGGGTAAAAGAGAAAGAGATTTCTTTCGTGTTTTAGCCACTGGTGTTTTGGTGTTTTCCAGTATATGCAGCTCACTTAAACCTGACTGATATTGAAGGTGAGAATGAAAACAGGCATGACAGCAATGGGAAAGTGCAAGACAAAAGGAAGACAAGACATGTGCAGTGAGCAAGGGGCTCAGGCTGCAAACTTGGGTTGCAAGAAACATACCTCTTTAATATCTTTGATTAACAACTTAAGCTTTACTGTAAGCCCCTATCCCACATGGTGGCAGAAACTTAATTTCTGTCACTTCAGAGACCTGCCTTTCCTTGGTGCAGAATCACTTGAGTGTCCCAGGATGATGTCTGTGCATGGAATGTGATCTGGTCCCTGGTCCAGTTCCATGCAGGTGTCCGCTGGCATGCCCGGTCTTCCTGGTCTCTGGAGGCAGGTCCTGCCGGCCTCAGGATGTCCTCCCTCATGTCTAACCACACTGCTTGCCAGGACTGCCAGCTCTCTGGGCTCCAACCCTGCGCCTCTCCCAGTTACTCAGGCCTATGACACTCTTGGGGCCCTTGCCTCATCCCTGGATTCTCCCCAGAATGAGGGTACAAGCCTGTGTGTTCAGATCCCCCCATCAACGTGGGGGTCCTACCATCCCACAGCAGGACCCGGCTCTCTAGGGGGGCCAGGCCTCCCAGCATCTAAGCCTTCTCCTCCTCCCCTCTGCTTCTCACTCCTCCTTGCACTGTAGCCTGGTCTGTAAGAGTTTCATGAGGGCAGGGTGGGGCTGGGGGGTCCAAGGAACAAGATAGCCTCTCAATTTCACTTCATAGTATTCTAAATTTAAAAACATGTATGACTTTTGAAACAACAAAACCCTCAGAACTGCCTGCATTGCCTTCCGCATAACCTTTCCCTGAGATGATAAAAGCAGGTGGCCCCACTGTCCAGAGGTGGGGAAGGGTTGGCAGTCTTAGGAAGTGCCACCGAGTGATAGCATCAGTTTATATCTCAAACCATGCTATGACCGTGAGAACAGGGGGACCAGGGTAGGAAGCAGATAGGCTTAGAGTCCCAGGTGTGGGAAGGCAGTTGAGAGCACAGTGCAATACAGGGCCATCAAGAACCCCAAACACGGGAGTCCTGTAGATCTGCTCTGTTCTCCCTCAGCGTCTGAAGCCACAGAGGCACCTCCTCTACGTGTGAGGAAGCTGACCTGCAGCCCCCTTCCAGGGACAGGGAAAAGAGCACACATCTGAGGAGCCTGGGGAAGAGAGGGGGACTGGGCCCCTTGAACAATGGGGTCACAGCCAGGTATTCTAGCCCCACCAGTCAGGTGGAGGGACTCCACCTGCAGCCCGCTCAGAAGGGTGGCACCCCTAGGGGGTAGAGGGACATTCTCTTGACACACAAGATTCAAGGAAGTCAGCATTTGGCGAACATCAAAGCAACCGATGTTGATCACTTCCAGAATCTTCCCTGGGTCCTGGAACGATCAGGTGCAAGTTTGCTGAAGAACAGCTATTCACATAGTCTCAGAGTAGGATAATCAAAGTCCCTTCCCATGGAACATGTATTCCCTAGAAAGTGGAAAACGGCTACTTGAAGGTAGAGAAACCTGGCAGACTCCCCATTAATCAATGTTGGAGCACTTAAAGTCCCTAGTTATGGGACAAATTGACATTGTGTGCCTTCTGATATGAGCCACTGAGAAAAACATATCCCTTGTGGCTCCTGGGGTCAGGTGTTTGTCAAATGGCTCCATGGTGTCACTAAGGATGCAGGTTCTTTCCCACTAGCTGCTCTGCTGGCCTCTGCTTAGCCTAGGGCTGGGTCCACTCAGCCTCCCAAGAAACTTTTGCAGTTTCACCATCATGTGCAAATGAAAACAGGACAGCAAAGGAAAGGAGCACTGTTGTATCTCACTCTTTAATAAGAGAAAAAAAATCCCTAGAGTCCTAGCAGATGTCCCCTTATATATCTCCCTTTTCAGAATAAACTTGTATGGCCAATGCTGAACCAGTCTTTTGTGAGGGACACAGAATTAGCATGTATATATGAATTACGCTTGCCAGAATGAAATGGAAAACCTCATGTAACAGTGGCTAAATAAGACAGAAGTGGACTTTGACATCTGGAGGTCTGGCTATGCTGCCCAGGTCTCTCTGGCACCTCCAGCTTCAGGAACCTGGGCTCTTCCTAATCTTATGCTCCTCTCTGTGCAACTTCCACTCGAAGTTGTTTCACAGCCCAAGATGGCTGCTCCAGCTCCTGTCCTCTAGTCCTTATTCCAGCATGGAGGAAGGAAAAACAGAAATGGAAAACAAAATCCCTTTCTATTAAGGATACGTCCAGAAGTTGTACACCCCACATCTGCTTACTCCAACTGGGACAAACTCGGTCACATTGTCTTACTTAGCTGAAAGAGATGCAGATAAAGGTGTTTATCTGGATACTTATGGGCCCATCTGAAAAAAAAACAAATTGGGATTTCTAATACTACAGAAAAGGATGGGGTGCAATACTATGGACATTGGCCATCAGCAGCCTATGCCACACCATGACTCCATCAAAGGACTGGGGAGATCCTGGGCACCCCAAAGATATGGTTGCCTCATTTCTGTACAAAATCGAGGGTTACTAACATGGCAAGGTGGGAACTGGGTATCGGATAGACAACAACAGCTTCCTAGGACTAGTAAATGCTCATCACTCCTTAGGTTGCCCACCAACAGAAGGGAGCAAGTCCAGCTTCATGGCAAGCAGGTATTCTTTTTGGCTCTTTCAGTGCATTATAGCCCCCCACCCCCACACATTCTCTCTGCTGGCTCCTCTAGAACAATGTTTATAAACCATGCATCAGGTGATCGCCTTATGACTCTTGTGTTCACTGAGGGCTCGAATCACTTGGGAGACTTGGAGCACAGAACATTACATCCCCATCAGATCCACTCAGGGTGGGGGGGTGCCATGATCCTGAAAGTCATTTGTACTGTCCTAATCTACCCTCCTTTGTCAAAATGATTTATTTTTAGTCCTCACAATCACTTTTCCAAGAACAACACTACAAATAGAGCTACATGTGCCTGGGGGGAGGGAGTTGCTTGACCTCCCCCAAAGCCTGGCAATTGTGGATCTGTTGACATTATTTCTAAAACTCAGAATGAGAAGAATTACTGAGATAATAGAGGCTCTGGTTCCACAATAGACAAGACACCTGGAGGAGAAGGACACGATTGACTCAACCATCCAGGTACTTTATTGATATACGTAACTACGGTCTATCGTGGGGTTTCATGAAGGATGCTCCAGATTTAAACATCTGGTTGTTTCATCTTTACAGAGGACTATTATTTTTCTCTGTCCAACTTCCAATTGCTCAACTTTTGGTAACAGAATCCATACTTCCCTTGGGAAACCAGTCCTTCTGCTGTCTCCATCCACACTGAGATGATCACCACCTTTGTCTTTAGGGTAGACATGCTACTCAGGCTAGTAATCGGAGCATTGTACTCCCTTGTCCATCATGATAGGTTCATAATTGAAAGAATGACACGAGTCAACCAATGTGGTCCATTGCCTGGCTTGTCTCAGAATGGTAGCAAAGACAGAGGTTCTATTTTTGCTTGACTTGGGGTTGGTAGGATGCAGGTCTAGAGTTGCTGGGTGCCATTCTGTGAAGAGAAGTTACCTTAAGGTAGGGGGGTTTCCTAGTCTGGTTACTTGTTGCCTTCTGACTTAACAACCATTCCCCACTTTGCCACATTAACAAAACCCTGATTTTGTATAGAGGGCAGTAGAGGCAAGAGGTGCAGAGAGCTCTAGTCCCCGTTGTCCTCAGCTGAGACCCTGCGCCCACTACATCTGGGGGGATCCTACAGGAATTTTCGGATTATGTAAGCTAACTTTTTTCCTTAAGCCAGTTATACTTGGGTTTCTGTTACCTGCAACCAAAAAATATACCAACCTTAGCCATTGACCTCCTCCTATATATGATACCTGGGCACAGTCTGCTCTTCCTGAGATGCCTTTTCCTCTTAATCTTCAGTATCTTATGCTGAACCTAACTATGACTTGGTTTTGGTCTTCTCATTGACCTTGCTCTGACCCCTTTGAAGGACCCGTTTATTTTCACTACTTTGAATTGCACTTCTAGACAATGAGTACCAAGTGGTACCTGGTCTAATTTTTTTAAGTGGTGAGTAGGTAGCCATTCAACATGACTCGTTGAATGCCTACATGATGAGACGACACAGACAAAGAATGTCACAATGTGTGCAATTCGGTGCTAGAATCAAATGAAATTTATCACATGCTCAATCTGATAAGGATCTGATGCAATATAAATCACACTGTTAATATGGAAGGAAGAATTTATTCAAATGATTTTGATAAGCATCCGACTATTGCCAGAGGAGGAAGAGGTCAGCCTCAACTCTACCTCAAATAAAGTAAAGACAGCTAGGGATTTATAGCCAAGGAGCAGAGTGGGGTGAAGGGTGACTGGTAGTTGGAAAATCACTAAGAGGAGACATCAAGTGTAGGTGGATTTTTGCTAAACTGACTTAATAGGATTCGTGCTGCAGGTAGGCTAGGGTGATCAGTTATCAAAGGTGGGAGTTCTCTCTAAACTGACTTAATAGGTTCTTTTGCACAAACTGAACTCAGCAGTGCAAAGACAAGACCCAAGGATGAATGCTAGTCAAAAAGAGGACTCAGAGAAGCCTTTGAATGGTATGCCAGACTAGGCATGAACGGGCAATCTTCAGAACATGAATGAACACAGTTGGAATGTGTAGCAGTACCCCCTTACCTGCAGGGACTATGTTCCAAGACCCTCAGGGGGATATCCGAAACTGTGAATAATGCCAAACCCTATAATACTGTGTTTTTTCTCATGCATACATACATACCTGCGATAAAGTTGAACTTACCAATTAGCCCTAATAAGAAGTCAATTATAAATAATAATAGAACAATAACAACATACTGCATACGCAGATGTGGTCTCTCTCAGAATGTCATCTTATACAGTACCTACCCTTCCTCTCCCTGTGATGATGTGAGACGGCAGAATGCCTACGTGATAAGATGAAGGGAGGTGAATGGCACAGGTGCTCTGACACACGTGTCATCAGGCTATCACCCCTTGGGATGATATGTCAGGAGATCCTCTGCCTCTGGACCGCAGGTGACTGCGGGTCACTGAAAGGACAGAAAGCCAAACCACGAATAAGGGGGGCTACTCAACTTTCATTCAAATCAAGTTTCAAGTCATTTTTCTCTATTTATTGGATTACTTTGATCTATAGCTTCATTTTACCTTCTTGAATCACTGGTTTTATGCAGTGCCACCCACACATTTGTATGAGTGTATCGGCTGCTGGACCACCCATGGTTCCCTCGCTCCTTTCAGTCCCTGATACCTGCCGTATCCCTTCCCATCTGAGCTTCTCATGCATCTCTCTCTGTCTAGAACTCTGTCTTCCATTATTGAACCATCCTTTGGCTCTCTTCTTACACATGGATTGGTTTCCTTGGGAGAAGGAAAGGAGGGGCTTCCCAGAAGCTTGACAGGAGTACATCCCACAGGTGCATGATCTGAGGGCACCAGGTAACTCTGCATCATAATGCTTATATTGCTTTGTATTGTGATGGTATTATTCAAATCTTATTCTTTTTCTTCTTTTTTTAAATAGGTGCATATATTACAACTCAGACTCAAACGTGAGGGCCCTCTGGAGTTTTCACCCTCAATCCTATCACAGATCCTTCTCCACATGTGTGTTTTGATGAAAAATTAATGAAAGGATTAGGATAAAACTCAGAAGCTAAAACATCTATCTGGATAACTGGCTGACTTTCCCCTCCCCTTGATCTTTTGACTCTTTTTAATTTAGCTGCACTTGGAAGCTAGAAACAAATTAGCACTCACCATTGACACGTGGCTTGCTCGATCTATGAATTTGTCCCCTGTAGAAAATGATACATGGCACTTCTCTCTCTCATTTTAACTCAGAGGGCCTGTAACATGAGCTGGAAATATGAGGCAATTAACCATGTAATTCAGACAAAATCGCCTGGAAATGTACTTAGCTGAGTAGGTACACAGCCCAGTAATGGAAGACTTGAAAAATTCATTCATGATAGATATGGAATCATTTATTAGCAGAAGCGTGGGACGTGCTGGGAACATTTCTAATCTGTTAAAGTCAGCACCTCTTACAGGGAAGTAGGCCTGATGACGCAGTCACCACACTACCACCACTGGAGACAGAATGTGCAGCTGAGACGAGAGGACACTGGTTTGTGGGTGGTGGTGGTGGTGGTGGTGGTGGTGGTGTTTTTGCTATGGCTATGTATTTTCAGTGCTTTTTAGGGTTCTGAGGTTGCAAGTGACAGACACTGAGTCATGAAATCAGGACAAATTAAGGAGAAATGAAGACTTGATTGGAAGAAACGGTATAGCTCTCAGGATTGAATGAAAAGCCGTAAAATGAGATTTTGGAAAAAACTAGAACCAGGGAAGCCCTAGGTTCTTGGGTCTCAGGAACTAACACGTGGACACTTTCACTTGGAAGTCCCAATGGGCCCTGCCCTCCCCCACTCCCACCCCCACCACCTTAGAGGGTGTCGGGATGAATCAGCTCTGACTGCTTTCTCCCTACGTTCCTTACCCTCTGCCATGGGCCTTACGATGGGCTAGTACTGTATGCAGGTTTGCATTAGATACTGGTGGGTCTTTACATGATTCACTCATTCATTTAACAAGCCCTTCTTAACAACTATACGAATCTTGTGGCGGGTGTCATCGAGATGCAAAAGTGAATCCATTATCGATTCTACCCTCTCAGGCAGATACAGGGAAACCAGCGTTAAATACTGTAAGATGGATAAAAAGCTTTATATCCTTCAGGATCTTTTCATTTCAAGGGGCAGAGAACTAGGGCAACAACCGTGCATGGCTGGGTGCCCCGAGCAGAGCCTGACCACATTTCAGTTCTGGCTCTGGCCACCCACCAGTGTTGGGAACTGGGACAAGTTACTGTACTTTTCTTAGTCTCTCGATTCTTCTTCTGGAAAGCGAGGTAATAAAAGTGCTCTAGACAGGGTCGCTAAGACGATTAAATTAAATGAAGTAAAGATTGATTTTTACCTAAACCTGTTCATTCTCTAGTTTTCCAAATGTGGGCACATTTCCATAAATCTACCATTTATCTACACCTCCCATCTACTGCAATGGCCCAAGACAAAACATTTAGAGTCATCCCTATTCTCTGCCTTTCCTCGAACCCCAAATCAATCAACAAGCCTAGATAATTCCCTTTCTGAAATACATCCGGAAAGTGTGCCTCTGGTTTCTTCCCATGGCCCTGTTCTAGTCCAAAACCCATTGTGGCTTCCCTGGTCTATACTGCAAATGACACCCCACCTGATCTCCCTGCCTTCTTCTTCCTACAATCTATTCTTACAGAGCAACCATTTCTAAATGTTCAGTGTAATTTGATTACGTGTCACCCCTTAGAGAAAATCCACCCCATGGTTTCCTAATGCATTTAGAATGAAATCCACAGTTCACACTCTCTGACGTTGCCCCAGCCTGCTTCTCCAGTCCCCTCTCCCACTCTGCTGCGCCCAGTGAGACAGACTGCATTATTGCTCTCTGTTCTCAGCCCTCCGTAATAGCCCTGCCATGGCTTTACATGGTAGAGTGGATTCCCCCATCCCTGAATTTGGGCTTGGACATGAGACTTCCTTTGGCTAGTGGTGAGTTAGTGGTTATGATGTAGGAACGCCCTGAAATAAGTGAACTGGCACAGCTTCTTGTGCTCTGGATGCACCAGGAAAAGCATGTACCCCAGGTAGCTACTTGTCCAAGGAGAGTGAGGGAAAATGTGCAGATTTGAACCCAATCCACGGTCTGGAGCCAAGCCTGTATAAGCAGTGGCCTGAAGCACAGCCATTCCAGAAGATCCCAGAGCTGTGAGCAACAGTAAACACTCACAGTTATAAGCCCCTGACTTTTGTGTTGCCGTCACAGCGTTACTGCACCAAGAGCTGATTACTATACTCAGACCTTAAGTTTTCTTTTTGATTTCTGCAGTATTCTTGCTGTTCCTTCTGTTTAAAACCATTCTGTCTGTAAGAGAGTTTTGCCACTTGTCACTACAGACATTTGGGGCTGGGTATTTGGGGGGGCTGTCCTGTGTATCGTAGGATATTTAGCTGGCCTCTATCCACTAGATGCCAGTGACCTCCTCCCATCCTCAGATATGACAGCCAAAAATGTCTCCAGATATCGCCAAATATCCCCTGGGGCGGGGGGCAGAGTCATCCCTGGTCAGCAACCACTGGTCTAGACAATGCGTTCCCCAGCCCTTCCTGCACATAGGCCCGCCTTATAATTACGTCCCAGCTCTGACGTGTGTTGTCCTGCTCATTTATTTCTTCATTTATGTTCCTACCTCTCTCTCTCCCCATCACAGTGGAACCTGGCACTTGAGAGGAGCCCCCAGAAACTTATTCTAAAGAATGAAGGTTTGAAAACACCCCTTCAACTGTGTTGACTGTAAAACATTATACAAATCAATTATAAAATTAATGAAAGATGCAAAATCCATCGGAAACAGATCCACACAGAGTTTAGCAGCTGGGAAGTTTCTGATGCTGTAATTTCCCCTTCTGCAGCTGCCACCCTCTGAGTTTTGGACAGAACTAGCAGAAGAATGAATGTTCTGGAGCCTGAGCTGGGTTTGATTGACTAAGAAAGAAAGAACCCTCACTGGTCATAGGATATCTTTAGACTGGATTTAAACAGCAACATAGTTCAGTGGATGTGATTTAATTTGTTTCCCCAAACAGCTGGGGTTCCCTCCCCTCAACTGGTTTCTTGGGCTCTGTTTGCATTTGTAACCTTCAAATAGCCACAGTTAATAGATGGGGAAAACATGTCAAAGTAGATGAATAGGGGTGCCAACTTGTTTCTTAATAACTAATTATGCATGGAATTTATCATCGCCCTCCACACATCCTCTTCCTTAATAACAGTTGACACCCTGCGTTTTCTCACTGGCATCAGCCCATCACAGTGAGAGATTTTTTTTTCCTTTTTTCCTCAAATAAAGATATCACCTCAATACAGAATCAGCAATATCAGAGAATTTGCTGGGGCTTTTGCTGATTCAACTGGGAGGTAAGAGGAGGTGGGGGGGTGGGGAGTGGCCTCTGGTGCCTGAACCAATCTTTGGTCTGCAAAAGCTGGTGAGGTGAGAAATGGCCCTGTTCTGGGGGTTGGCATGAATGGGATTCGGGGGCTGGGAAAGGAGCGGAGGCTGAGATGGATGGTTGCCCAGGTTTCCCTGGAGGGCAGCCATGACAGATCTGTTCTGACTCAATCTGATAGGCCCCAATTGCCCAAGGTACATCCTCCGAGCTTTAAACCTCCCCTTCCAAGTTCCTTCACTGTCTCATTTAAATTCCTTGTGATTCCGTTTAAGCCTGTTTCATCTCCATCTTTTTCTTTTCTGGAAGCTGTGGAAAGTTGCTCCCCAGTGATGACACAAGCCCCGTGGACTACAAAACCATAACCAGCTTTATCTTGATCCCTCCCCTGCAGGGGATTTTGCAGTTTCTGCCAAGATCCTCCTCTTTAGGAACCACCCTGTCTGTCACTCTGCCCTCCCGGTAGCTGTAGTCTTGCCGAATTCTCCTTCCCAGGGTCGGCTGGCTCCAGCTCGGCTGTCAAGCAGAACCTGTTCCCTCAGAAACAAGCTACAGAGAAGACAGCTGAGCCACATCCGGCAAAGTCCTAAAGAAGGAACGACAGAGGGGTCAGATCCAGCTGGCAGACGTTTTAGTTGGCCTGCAGTTGTTTTCTTAAAAAATTAGAAGTTTTAGCCAAAGCCCAGGTTTTGAGTGTCTCAGAGAGCCTTACAACCTGGCCACCCTGAGCCTGTGTTCCTAGAAGGCAGCAGGCGCCCTGCTGCAGCTGAGCAGTGAGCACCCTCTTCTGATGGGGTGCCTGCTCTCCAGGTGCCCCCAAGCCCTGCTATACCCTTTTATTCCTGCTGCCCTTATTCATTCTCCTTCCTAGTGCTCAGAAGCATCTGGGTTTGGATTCTGCCCTAGAAGGAAAATATCTCAAATACCAGGTGGCGCACACCTGGCCCCTGCTCTGTGACAGCCTGTTTGTTTAGCCTAGTGATGGACTCCCTGGGATGTTCTGTGTCTGTGCTGGGCTGAATTGTGTTCCCTCAAATTCATATGTTGAAGTCCTCACCCCCAGGACATGAGAAAATGACTGTATTTAGAAATAAGGTCTTTGAGAGGTAATTCAAGTTGCATGAAGTATGAGGGAGGCCCTAATCCATTATGAATGGGTCTTTATAAGAAGGGACACCACCGATGTGCATGCAGAGGACAGGCCATCTGAGGACACAGCAAAAAGGTGGCCAACCTCAAGCCAAGCAAAGACACCACAGAATAAATCAACCTTGCCGACACCCTGCGCTGAGACTTCCAGCCTGCAGGAACAGCAGCCCTAGCGAAGGAACATGGTAGCCCACAGTGACGCCCAGCCCTCCCTGACCCCTGCCGAAAGTAATTCAGTCAGTTTCTTGCCAACCACGAGCCTCAACTAATAAACAGCCTTCCTCCTGCAGTCTGATCAGGTCTCCTTCCTCTTCCCCAGGGCCCTGTCTTGAACTTTTTCTGGTATTTTATTACAAGCTGCACATGTGAAGGCTTGTAAAGTAAGGTGGATGAGTTGAAGTCTTGGCAAAAATGGAGACAGAATGTCAGAAATGGCAGCAAATATTTGCTGACACATGTCAGGGCTTTGTGGACACATCTGAATGTTGTGAATGGACAAATACTAATCTCAGCATCTTTGGAAAATACAAATATCTGTCTGAAAGAACTCAACATCTAGGTCATGTCTTCTCAAAGGGGACTGGGGGACAGTCAGGAAGGAGAAAACTGACTCTCAGGTATGAAAATATTCTCCTTCCTATATGTAAACCACAGATACATATGTATGGCACATGAACAGATACAGACTGGTGGCTTTAAAATTCCATGGGAGGCTGATCTGGGGAAAATGTCTAAGAAGTCATTTGGAGGAGATGATAATAAAAAAGAGTTGAGGAACATTCACCTACATGTTTGGTGCAGTGTTAACACCCCTTTCTTGGAGGGCATTGTGCAGTGGGGGCCTTTGTTCTCAGGGCCTTCACACGGTGATGCTAACAAGGACAATTGCAGCGTTCCCAAGTAGAAAAGGGATGTTTCTACTCATTGAGTAAAGTCAGACATAGACAAAACCATTTATTCTTGCAACTGATGGGTAAGGTTCAAAAAGAAGGAACTGGTAAGGGTACAGCAGACACAGTTGGAGGCTTGTCCAATAGTATATCCTCTACATTTTTTCTTGCTGGCAAAAATTCCCTCCCAGGGTAGAGGCTGAAAACTGGGTATGTGGTTTCCCAGCCTCCTTTATGTTAGAGCATAAGCACGTGACCCAGTCCCTAGGGAAAGGGACTCCTAACCAAGGAAAAGGGTCTCAAGAGAAGGACTCCTGTCACCCCTTCAGCGGGTTGCTGTCAGATGCCATGTGTTGCCCGGCACTTCAGCAGCCACCTTGTGGCCATGAGGCTCAGGACCCAAGGAGCTAACTACAAAGAAGCAGAAAGAGCAAGAGGAAAGGTCATTGATGACATTGGTCAGTGAAGAGGAAAATGACAAATTAAAAAAGTAATGAACAAAATCAACTGCACTTTACAACTAAAATTTGTGAAGCTAAATTTGGGGAACAAGTAATCAAGCTCAATAGAAAAGGGCTAGGTAGAACAAAGAAGTTCTGGGTCTTAGTCCCATTTCTTATTACTAGCCAGGGGGATAACTTAGGGCAAATGGTTCAGCTTCTCTAAACTTTGGGGGGGAATGTTTATCTAGCCCCTCCTCAGATGGTTTGTTGGTTTGCACTATTGACTTGGCCAAGCACAAAGTACTTTTACAAGAATCCCCTTCCCTGGGTATGTCTAGGTTGCAGCTGGGAAAAAAACAAACAAATAAACAAAAAACACCTTTTTTTATTAAAAAAACAGAAGGCATGAATTTGGAAGGGAAAAATGAAGCAGTAGCCATTCATCTCTGGGGCATGTATGGTGCTTTAAGGAAGAGGTCCCGCACTCCAGCTTGACTTCACTCTCTCCCACGTCCGGCTCTTCCTGACTGCCAGCCCTCCTTGCAGCGACAACCCCAAGCCTCCTACCGGACTCTGCGACAATAGCCCTCTACAGACTTCATCCCAGGTTCTCCTTTGCGGCCCCACCCACAGCAGCAGGACATGCCGTCCCCTCCAGTCCCACCTCCACCAGGGCTTCAGGGGGCCTGATGCATGGACTGGTTGCTGACTTTATTCTGACCCTCCGACTCCCCATTTTGGACTCTTAGTTCTCAGCTTTGCCCACAGTTGTGTGAGGTCTTCCTCTCAGAATAAATCCCTTATTCCATAATACTCACATGGCTCTGCTCTCCTGCTTAAACTTTGAGCAATACGAGAATTAAGAGAAATAATGAATATAAAGCAATTAGTGTAGCACTGGCTCCACAGCAAAAACGTCATAAATTGTCATCTACTGTTATCATTGTTTTCAGAGACCCTGCTTTCTATTTGCCTCATGATGCAGAGGACATAACAAAGATCCTGTCAGGTTAAATGACTTGCCCAGGGTCTTACAGTTCAACCACGACTCAGTCAGCATCAGAACTATATCCTTTTTCACAGATTCTGGCTGGTCCCTAATAGTTAGAACGTTATTGGCTGCAAATATACCACCCAAAATCAAACTGACCTAAATGGTATGGAGGGTTTATTGGCTCAAATAACCAGAAAGTTGAGAGTAGAGGGTTGACCTCAGACAGATTATCATGACATCAGCAGGGCTAAGCTCCATTTTTCTGTAGTTCTCTCAAGCTCTCCTTTCTGTGGGGTCCCTATCCCGGTTCTCACAGAAGCAGAAACGCCTACAGCAGCACAGCCTCACCTTTCCAAACCACAGCTGCCTTGAGGAAAAGGCAGTCTTTGTAAGCCAAAGTACTGAGATTCATTATGATTGGACTAGTTTATGTCACGTGTCCACCTTCACCCAATCGTGGTGGGTGGGAGGTGGGGGACTGGGTGAGAACAGTGATTGGCTTAGTCTAGATAGGCCCTGCTATAAACCCGGAAGCTGGGTGGGGAGAGTCAGCTTCCCTAAAACATGGACCCTTAACTACACACTGGGGTGGGGGCAGGCGCACAGGAAGTGAGTGTGGGGGGTGGGAAGCAACATTTGCATTGTGGTTATTACATTTGTTGTCTTAATACCTTTTGTCAGTGATCCTTCCTGGGTATCTGGATGAAGCCAGATGAGCAGTAATTCCCAAAGGAATGTATTTTAAAAGTGATATATATATTTAAAAGTAGTAGTCATATGATGAAATATTTATGGTCACTGAGTTTAATGTAAAACACCCATCAGCCTGATGCCCATGAGTCAAATGGATGGTGGGGGCACTGAGATTGCAACTTGCTCCTCTTCTGCCATATTAATCAGCCTAAGAAACGGAGTGTCCTCCACCTGCACCTGGGTTACATCCCACAGAATGGACATATGGAGTAAGAAACCTGCCAGGAGATAATAATGCCATCCTTCTTGATAGGACACACCAAGTAGGGAAGCATGAAATCTGTCCTTTACCTTGAAAATGGATTCTTTTTTATTTTTAGAACGATTTTGACATATAAAAAATGTACAATGAGATGCCCAAATCTTAGGGTTTCAGTTTAATGTTCTGAGAATTGTATGCACCTGGGTAACCACTACCCAAAATAAAAGGCATTTTCACCATACTAGATAGTTTCCTCAAGTCCTTTCTAAGTCAGTCCCCATCCCCACTGGGAGAAGAAAGGAAGAGGTGGGGAGGAAAAGAGGTATTTCTAAACATCACTATCTGACTTTTACTGCCATGGATTAGATTTTTGGCTCTTCTTGGATTCTACGTAAATGGAATGAGATTGTATGTGTCTGGTTCCATTAATGTTTTCTGCATTCATCCACATTGCTGTGTGTAGCATTAGCGTGTCCCTCTTTATAGCTGTGTAGTATTCCATTGTGCGACTCTACCATTGTTTTGTTTATCCCTTCTCCTGCAGATGGACATGTAAGTTGTTTCTGGTTTTTGGCTATTATGAAAATAACGCTATAAGCATTCTTGTAGAATTAGTTTTGTGCAATATTTTCATGGCCATAGAGTAAAATACCCAGGAGTGGAATTGCTCATGGGGTGGACGTATGTATAACTCATCACAAACTGCTACACAGTTCTCCCAGCGTGGCTGTGCCATTTTACCCTCCCACCAGTGGTACGGGAGTGTCTTGGAACCAGATCTCCATTTCTGACAGAGACTTGTTGTTGACATGATTTTTTTCCCAATGGCCCATCTCTACCAAGGTCAGGGAATGTGGGAGCCCAGGGCTGGCTCCTCCTGGGGGACAGAGGTGTGCTGTCCTGGGTCTGTGGGTCTGCCAGTCCATTCTTGCTGTCTCTGCCCTGCTCCTTACCCCAGAAGGCTGCCTGGCTGGAGGCTCCTGGCTGGGTTTGGCCACTAAGAGAGGCTGGGTTAGGCGTGACCACTAGGCGGCAGCTGTTGTGACTTTGGAAGGTGGGAGGAGGGGGAAGACAGAGCATCTCCTCCTCACTCTGTCTCCGGTGGCTTCTCTCGCAAGGACCATCTGTCTTTCTTGGCACCAGCTTCCACCCCACAGTCCTGCCACCACTCCAGCCTCCGCTGGGTGACTCCAGCCTCTGGACCCAGGGACCACCACCTGCTCCCTTTGTCTTTCTAGCCTAGGAGGGGGAGCTTCTCCCTGTTGTGGCAGATCCCTGGGGTGCCTCTCAGTCCCCTCTTGCTTGCTTCTTGGTTCCTTCCCTCATCCGTGTGATCCATTTCTTAGGTTAAATTCTTTTTGTTCAAATACTTAGAGCGGGTTCTGTTTTCCTGGTTGGACATTGACAGATACACGCAGCATCGAGGATTAACAGAGACGATTTTGAGGCCAAATCACATCCGAGGCCTGCCAGGCAGATTTATTGTCAAATCCTAAAACTGCAAAAATAGGACAACCTTCTTCAGAAACACCATCTGGTACCACAATAGTCCTCTAGTGTCTAGCCTACACCCCTGCTGAGACTAAGTGTTCATATGATAACCAGACGGAACCAAGTCAGATGGCCTTGGGAGTGAGTGTGAGCGTTGGCATTACTGGGTCCATGGACCATGGCTTAGAAGTGGCAGGAGCCACAGTGACGTTGGTGTGAGAAGAGAGGAAGAGGCGGCGAGGAAAAGAGGTATTTCTAAGCAGCCACCATAATTGGATGGATTGACCCAAATCTAGGTTGTCAGGCCACATACTTGGCTTTTGAGGGAGGCAGTTATTTCTCCCGCTCCTCTGCTTCTTTCTCTAGAACTTGAAACAGAGCCCGCCATATAGGGGATACTCAGTAAATCTTTGCAGAGTTGCATTTATCCATTCATTCATTTGCTGAATACTTACGAAGCACTTGGATGACTTAGGAGTCTTGACTGCAAGTGATAGAAAGCCAAATCAAACTGACTTAAGCCAAAAAGGCATGATAGTAATCTACATGAATGAGAAGGCCAAGGATAGAATAGCTTCAGGCATGGCTAGATCCAGGTGCTCAAATGATGTACCATAAGTTGCTTTCTCTCCATTTCTCAGCTCTGCTTTCCCTTGTTCCAATACCCAAGTGCTCTCAGATCCGGCCAGTCTGGAAGCCAATAAGCTGCCTTTGTATCCACGCTGGACACTCAGGGTTTCAGTGCTATCTTCTAAAAAGCTTTGCTGGAGCTACAGTCTGTCACAGATGGTACAGCTTAGGTGAGATGCCAGAAGTCTCTGGGCGAATGGACTGTACACAATCTGGCCCCACTGTAGCAGGAGCAGAAGGGGGAGGGCATGATGGAATCCACTGGGCTGAACTGTACTTTGGTTATTCTCCCAACTTCCCACCAGGTTGGAAGATAAGAAATTTGTTTTTTCTAATCTAACTTTTCATTTTCAGATAGTAAGTTCCAGATGGAATTGTAAGAAGTAGTATAGAGAGATCCCACGTGTCTCCCTCAGTGCTAACATTTTGAAAAACTGGTAGAATATCACCATCAGGTTAAGACTGATACAATCCACAGACTTTATTCCTGCTGCCCCAGTTTTACTTGGACTCATCTGTGTGTGTATCTGTGCATTTAGTTCTACAAAGGTTTATCACAGACGTAAGTCAGCATGTCCACCCAGGGCAGTGGATGTAAAGAGCAACCCCATTCCCACACGGACCCATCTCCCTCCCTGCAAACTCACTCTCCCTGCTCCCTAAGCCCTGGCAACCACTAATCTGTTCTTCATTTCTACAATCTTGTCATTTCCAGAAGGCTAAGCCACCTTCCGGCTTTTTTCTCTGAAGTCTTGGGATTCATCCAGAGAGGGCCTGCATCGACAGTCTGCTTCTTATTTTAGTGACTAGTGTCAATGGTATGGATGTACCACCGTTAACTATTTACCCCCTGAAATGACACCAGGGTTGTTTCCAGGGGTTTGCTCCTGTGAATAAAGCTGCTATCACAGAAGGAAAAACCCCAGGTTTCACTACTTGGGGAAGGACTGAAACTTGGGTTGAACTTTCTCTGATCCGAATCTGTATCCCCACTGATGAGGCCCCCTCTCTGATGTTGACTTGACCATGTTCATAAAGCATTTTCAACCATTCAGACCAAGGGACACTGTTCATCTCATTGTATCTTTACGACGCTCTCTTTACAAGGCTATGTCTTTGGGTTTTTACCATGTGTGTTTTTTCTGTTGTCCCACCGCACTCTCTTTGCTTCCTTCATTGGGCTCAAGTTTCATTCTCCTTGCAAGCAGGTCTCACCTCCTTATCTGAACTTTACTACATTTCGTGCATTGAGTCCCAGGATGGCAATTCCCTGAGGTTTTATTCATGCACTCAGTACACGCTC